AAAAACAATTCACATTGATTACCTCGCTCGTTCTAGAATGTCAATATAGAAGCCACCTGTATTTTATCAATAATCAGGTCTATACAAGAAATGCAACTAGATTTAAATGCTAAAAAAAAATTGAAGGGGAGTGTTGGCGCCCGCAGTCAAATGCGTTGTAGAAAACCAAAAAGAAATTTAAAAAAAAATTAAACAGTAGGAACACAGATTAATGAGTTCAAACTACAATCTTCAGATTCATAAGCAGAAAAAACAATTGACAATGATTAGCTCATTAAAGTATGATAATACAGAGGGCACCTGCTGGTTATCAATAATCAAGTCTATACAAGAAATGAAACTAGATTTAAATGCTAAAAAAAAATTGAAGGTTAGTATTGGCGCCTGTAGCATATGCATTTTAGAAAACAAAAAATAAATTTGGAAAAATAAACAGTAGTAACACAGATTAATGAGTTTAAACTACAATCTTCAGATTCATAAACAGATAAAACAGCTTATAACGATTAACTAGCTCATTAAAGAATTATAATACAGAGGGCAGGGCACCTGTATTTTATCAATATTCAAATCTATACAAGAAATGAAACTAGATTTAAATGCTTTTAAAAAATTTGAATTGTAAATATCATACCTGACCAATTTTCTAATTTTTTTCACGACTATTGATAGCCAGAATAGTGTTATACCAGTATAGTTACAATACATATCCCATTCTTAGTTTCTACGCACACTACAAATTATGGCAAAACTAATCCTATTGATCGCATGATGCGGCAGGTCAATGAGAGTACCATTTACCATAATATATTTTAATTTTTTTTTTTTTTAATTTTTAGGTCCACTTTACTATTACTAATTTATATTACCTATTATTATTATTATTACTATTATTGAATTATTATCATGTTTAAACTTATATAGTATATCTAAATTTGTATTTATCTGTGTTAAATTGTTGTAAAGGGCTTTGCCCGTAAATATATATAAATAAAATAAAATACAAATAATTGAAAAGTTTCGGTCAATACATCCCCTGATCGATTAACTGTAATAAAAAGAAACCTACTGAATAATAAGAAAATACATACCCCGTCCGAATCAAAATCTGCTATAAAACTTAGTCTTCGAAATTCTGCAACGTTACACATTTCAGTCTGCTTATGATATATATTATTCCCAATTGACAAATCTTCACTGACGAGTTAAAGACCATTTCTGAAATAACACGCAGCCTGCAGTAAAATGTTCAACAATATTCTTATGACCTAAGGGTTACGGATACATATTATATTTATATGTATAATTTTTAATCTGTATTATACCTACCTACTTAACTATTATGACGTGTTAGTTTGTTTTTTAGAGCGGACTACGGTAGCAATGAATGTTTTGATTTTACAATGATGTGTATATGATTCTCGCAAAACCATTTTCTTATTTTGTTGTTATTCAACACCTATTAACCGTCGATATTTAAAATATCCAAATAAAAGTTCCTCGCGAGTTGATATAATAGAAGTTAAAAAATATTAGAAATACAAGAAATACATAAGCAAGTTTTATTTTCGTAGGCATTTCTACAAAATTTATCACAATCTTGATTATTTGCAAAATATTTTGTTGTAAGATATTCAAACAAAAACTTCTTTGTTTACCTATAATATGAAAATGTAATAAAAGTTTCCTCATAAGTATTTATAATAGCAGTTGAGAATCAATAAAGATCCATCGACACGATTTTTTTTATAAGTACTTAATTAAACTTCAATTTTTAACAAAATATATCAATTTGATAATTTACAAATTACTATTTTGTAAATAAAAATGTATAAAATGTTCAACTTTCATTGCTTAGGATTGAAAATTTAAAACAATAATTCTCATAAATAGTTCAAACTGTATCCAAAGAATCTAAATAATCAATGAAAAACACAGTTAAATTTTACAGACATTATAAATTCAAATTTTGAAGAAATTACTTATTAAAACAAAGAATAGCGATTTTAGATATTTTGTTGCAATTTAAAAATTGTAGGTATTCGTGGATTTATGAAACTTTTAGAGTATATCATTATAGTTTATATACCTACACGATGACACTTTCAAAGGTAATTGTTTTGGCAAAAATTGCTTTAACCTACTCTTGTACAAATGCATAATAGTAAAATAAATTGCTTTAATCACAACATTATTTATAACTGTCTTTGCTCAGAATCGTTTTTCGTTTGTTCGTTTGTATTTTAATAATTTATAAATGAATTTATTATTATTAATAATTATATTAGTTTATTTTATTTCATCAATTTATTTAATACTATTTACTAATAAATAATATATTGATTAATAATTTTTGAAACATTGTATTCGAGAAAATAAAAAAAATTGTGATTTTAATTAGTTTTGTAATGTAGGTACCCACCTATATGTAAAAAATAAATTAATATAAGAATAAATGTTGAATTTTTAGGGACATAATAGGTAACGCATTCGTGTATGTATTACACTATATTTATATATATACGAGTATATCAGTATATTATTCATAAGTGCGGACACGGGAGGATATGCAGACATGCAGTTGACCATTTGTGAACTTTTATGTGTACATGGTTATACGTCCCTACTTCTTATGATATAGATATTAGGTGAGCAATAGAAGTTGAGTAGGTATGTTACACTAAGTTAATAGTTACCCATAACTTATAACGTTGGATTTGAAAAAAAATGACCAGTTATAAATTAAAATTGTATTTTATGACTATTATCAGTTAAAACATATATTTCTATAAATTAAACCAAAACATATGTCTTTTTCAAGTAAACAATTTTCATATTCACCTATTAATTACAATTATTCTACGACCGGGGACAGGAAAAACAATTTATAAAATATAAATATATGCGTCTACAATAACACATTTTTCGTGACATTAAATATTTATCTTAATTCTTAAAAGTAAATTTAAATGTAAAAAATTACATTAATTGGATTATAAATTAGAATATAATTACTACAGTTTCCAGCTTCTACTACAACATTACGTTATATTATGTTTTTAATTATTAAAATGCCAAAAAAGTAACCTTAAATCCCAAAATAATATGAAAACAAACTTACGCTGAAACATCGACTCTTCCGGTGAAACCTAGCTAGAGTACTTGACGCCACCGAAGAAACAGCTATCCTCAACCGTCTTCATCTCGTTCCGAACTTGAAATTATCGAAATATTTTATGAAAATTACCTGAACATAACGAAATGTGTGAATTCGTGTTAAAACTTACATTATAATATATACGGCTTAACGAACTATCTGTCTATATTGATGGCTTATTATTTTTTTTTTCACTAAAATTATTAGAATTGTTAATCGTCGCGGACGAATGTCGACAATTGGCGATTGCCATAGATGATATAAAATATATTTTTAATATGATAAATCCATAGAACTTCTACACTCAGCACATAAACGGTCTATTGATAAATCGTGTGTTCTTTTACAGAAATCATAGTGGTCTGCAATGTATTCTTGTTGTTATTTATCGCATACTAAATTTACCAAACAAATTAGTCCACAAATTTATAGACATCACAAATATATACTATAAATTATAATTTATAGTAGTTTATATCTGTGATAGACATTCTAATATCTATAATGCATTCTCCCTAGGGTCACTGAGACACTAGACCCGGTGCCGAATTTTCTTGGTAGTGTTATCGGTGGTTTACCCATTTACCTATATTACTATTTACCTATATAGTTAAATATAATATATTATCACAATATCAGTAATATCTACTGTCGCGACGTGCGAATGTGCGATTATTCTAGAATCACGCACACAATCATAATATGACGACTGAGAACCGGACAAGTATTACACATTTACATTTTTTCAGTTTTCATGAATAATCCAAGTTAGATGACTTATTATTTACATTTGAACAAAAAAGTTTTTTAATCTATAAAAAAAAAACTAACTTCTAGTCTAACTTAAGTTACTATTTTCATCAAACTAACTTCTAACTAAGTTAGAAATTTGGACAGTTTCAGAAACTAACTTATATTCTAACTTAGTTAGTTTTTTTATTAAAGTAACTTAACTTCAACTAGTTGAAAAAAATGACTAACTTGCCCAGCTTTGCATACCACTTACGGGTTAATTATTCAAATAATGAATCGTTATATGTACCTAAGGGCTAAGATTGTTTATTTAAGTTCAATAAGTTGATATGTATGGAGTAGAGTACTAGAGTCTAGGAGAATAATAATGAATAATAAACTAACAATCTTATATTATGCTTACCTGCAACTACCTAAACACATAAGTAATACCACTGCCTAATAAATATACTAAGTGAAGTAGTACATAATATGATTGGAAATATATTTAAAAAATTTCGGTAAATAAAAAAATACGGCCTCAGTTGTGAAATTGTATTTGTATTTTATATATTATAGTAATATGATATTAAAAATTTAAATATTTTTAAATTCGGCGGCCAGTGATAAATGTTATTTGTTGTTTATTCCAAGCCAAACTGATATGATAATTTCATCCATGAAAGTGATATAAACCGTTTTTATTTAGTATTTACTGTCTGGTACCGTACGGACCTAACCTATAACACCTACGTTATGTTATGTACACAATAATAATAATAATAATATTTCAAAACCACTGATAGTGGTTTTTGGTGATGTGTTCCCGTCTGCGTCTACTACTATATTACACTAATAGTTATTACCATAGAACAGTAATAAATTCACTCATTCCAGTGAATTTTGAAACGTATCACGGCGTCGGCAATCGTCCGAGACGAATTTTATACTTCGATGCCATTCTGAACCGGCGGCTACTGCAACTTACTACTTACATATCGCTTTAGACGTCCGTCGCGCTTATACGCATATTATACATGACATTGGCGGTACTCTGCCGTCGCGTTCAACCGTCACCTCCGGACACTGGCCAAGACGATCTAGAGCTGTTATGATAGTGTTGTTCGTACGCAGGTAGACCAGGAAAGTTTTTGCTCTCTTTCTCTCTTCTTCAACTCGTTCCGCCATCATGTTTCGCAGCAAGTTCCGTCTGCATACTTGCAAGATAATCATTGCCACGTCGCTGCTGTGGATCTTCATTGACATCATGGTACTCATGTACTACACAGATTGCATTGGTCCCAACTGCAAGGCGAAGAGCAACTCTGTTGTAAATTCCGATGGCGGTGTCAATGATCTGTTTGACGCCTCTGCAGCACCACGCATGGGGTGGGGACCGGTGCAGGACAACATGCTTGACCGTTTCAAGCATGGTAGCGACCGCAGCGATGATACCACATATCCTAGTCATTTGTTGATGCGCTGGAAGCCGATGCCTCCTGTGCGTGAAAAGCGAGGTAAACATGGCGAAGGAGGACGTGGCGTCACAATGAAACCTGAACAAGAAGCACTTATGAAACAGAAATTCAAAGAGAACCAGTTTAACATAATAGCTAGCGATATGATCTCACTGAATCGATCTTTACAAGACATAAGACAAGGGGAATGCAAAAGCAAGCAATATCCTACTTTGATGCCGACCACTTCAATAGTTATTGTGTTCCACAATGAAGCGTGGTCCACTCTTTTGAGAACTGTGTGGAGTGTCATCAACCGATCACCTCGATCCCTCTTAAAAGAGATTTTGTTGGTAGACGATGCTAGTGAAAGAGGTAAATTCAGTTGTCTAAATGTATGCTTAAAAATAAGACCTCCATCTCTATATATTTCATTTTTTAATTTCAGATTTTTTGGGGAAAAAATTGGAAGACTATGTTGCTACTCTTCCTGTAGAAACTAAAGTGTTGAGAACAGAAAAACGTTCTGGTCTGATAAGAGCTCGATTACTTGGAGCTAAACATGTTACAGGCCAAGTGATAACATTTTTGGATGCACATTGTGAATGTGCTGATGGTTGGCTTGAACCACTTTTAGCTAGAATTGTACTAAACCGGTATGTTTAACACCTACTTATAATTTTGTATAATATAGGTATTAAATTTAAACTAATATTTGTATTACTAGGAAAACTGTTGTATGTCCAGTAATTGATGTTATATCAGATGACACATTCGAATATGTTACCGCATCTGATATGACATGGGGTGGATTCAATTGGAAGCTGAATTTTAGGTGGTATGTATTTCAATAAATTTGAGTAGGTAATTTGTTTAATTAAATACTTTTAATATTTATTTTAGGTACAGAGTTCCTCAAAGAGAAATGACACGACGAAACCAAGATCGCACAGCACCATTAAGAACTCCCACGATGGCTGGTGGACTATTTTCTATTGACAAAGATTATTTTTATGAATTAGGGTCATACGATGAAGGAATGGATATATGGGGTGGTGAGAATCTTGAAATGTCATTCAGAGTAAGTATTGTGTGGCACAATCCTTGGAAATAGTGAAATAAATAAAATATTTAAATTTAAATTTAATTTCAATCTGGTTAATCAGTAAAATGTCAATTAAATTATGAATAATTTCCATACAGATATTTGAATTAAAAATTGGGTTTAATTCAGAAATTAAATGTTCTTTTAAAGAAATTTAGTTGTGGGGGAAAAGTAGTTGATATGGATATTTCTAGGTGTGGCAATGTGGCGGCACACTGGAAATAATACCATGCTCACACGTAGGTCACGTATTTCGTGACAAGTCGCCATACTCATTTCCGGGAGGCGTATCGAAAATTGTGTTGCACAATGCAGCCCGTGTAGCTGAGGTTTGGATGGACGAATGGCGAGATTTCTATTATGCAATGAATCCAGGTATAGGATAATATATGTGGCCTGTGAAAATTCGTTCCGCTTTTCTAAAATTTACTAACACGAAACAACTATCTAACCAAATTAATGTTGCTTGCTGGTTTAAATATTATTGTTCCCATATTATAATATTTAATACAAAATATAAAAATTATAAGGATAAAGGTTTACACAGTCCTCCATGCATTCTGTATGAATTTGTGCAGTCCTCACTTGTACTTGTTGATTGTTGTGTGCTACAATTGATAGAGAGGGATAGGAAATGGACATAATGTGTGTGTGTTTGTGTGTCTAAATACATACATATTTACTCATTATACAACATGAACCAAGAGTTTTCTTTCAATATTATCTGTATTGAAATGATTACTCATAGATTTGGATGTGTGGCGGCACATTGGAAATATCGCCGTGCTCACATGTTGGTCATGTTTTTCGCAAATCCACACCTTACACTTTTCCCGGTGGCACATCACATATAGTCAACCACAACAATGCCCGCCTCGCTGAGGTCTGGATGGATGAGTGGAAACATTTTTACTACGCCATAAACCCAGGTACCCCTTCTTCTCCTATGTGATTGAAAACATTCAAGCACACAGACACCTACACGTATTATTGTGATAATGTGATATTTTTCTCTACACCATTAGCACACCACGTAGTTATGAATGTTTATCATTTTATTTTTCATAACTTGAAACACAAAATTTTTTTTGATTTTTTTTTTAATCACTATTTTTCAACATGTTCTTCATTGAATGTTTATTTTAATAATATATATCCCACCTCCATTTTGTTTATGAATTTAAAATTACTATGCATGTTTAAAGATACTGGCATATTTTTGTCCTTGCAATTTTTGTCCTAAAGTTTACTTATTAGTTTCATAGTTTAACAGTATATTATAGTTTATATGGTAAATTAGGTAAATGGATCATTGATTCCCGCATCAAAACGTAGTATGTAGAAAATTGTCCCTTGTCATCATTTTATATAAGGACAGTTATTGGTCCTCAGGCCATATTTTTTTCTATGTGATACATTTTATTGAAAATTTTTATTTTTTCAGCATAATTCATCTAGCAAATGTAAATTAAGGGGATACCTCACCCGCATATGTTGTCTCCATCTTACAAGTGCTTAACATGGCAAATTTTACGCTCAGCAAAACATGTGTAGCTCCGTTAGTTTAAAAATTAGAGTGAATTGAACTCTTATAAAATTTAAAGGTAAGATTATTATCTAGGAAATCTCATGGGCTTTTTATTATATTTTAATTTTAAAGCAAGTTATGAGTATTTTAAGATGTACAAAAAATTTACAATCTTAAAATACTCATAACTTGCTTTAAAATTAAATTATAATAAAAAGCCCATGAGATTTCCTAGATAATAATCTTACCTTTAAATTTTATAAGAGTTCAATTCACTCATAACTACTGGAGCTACACGTGTTCTGCTGAGCATACAATTTGTTTGTTATGCACTTGTAAAGCGGAGACAACAAATGTGGGTGAGGCGTCCTCTTAAGATATCACTTAGTGTCCCTAACAAACAGTGTATCCACATTTCGATATGGTATAAAACATAACAGACTAACTATTTTTAACAAACTGTATTGAAATATATCATGATCTACATTCTTCAGTGATAGATTCTATACTGACTACTCTTCACAATCAATATTTTTTTTGATAATGTATTTTATTCCTGGTTATTACTAGGGATGCGCAATTTTTTTAAGTAATCGATATATCGATAATGCAAATATCGATATAATAATATTCTTTGAACTATAAAACCGATATATCGATAATGCAAATATCGATGTACTAGTATTGTAGAAGCTCAATAATTGTATATTGAGTTAGCCTTAACACGTTGGCTACCAGACCTGATTTCAAAAATATTTCATAACATACCATGAGTATCACCAGTGTTGGTTCTATATAGTGTATAGGTTGGGTGGGTAGCTTCCCATACCAAAATGTCACAAATATCGACAAAAAAATATCGATATAATTAATTATTTTCCCCAAACTATAATATATCGATACTACAAAAATTACGAATGGCAAATATCGACATAAAAATATCGATATTTTTGGCCACAATATCGACATGTCGACAATATCGATATTATTTGCGCATCCCTAGTTATTACAATTATTCAACCTGTCAGTGGACTGTATATTTTAGATGCCAATTAGTTCTTACTGCATGTCTGTATGTCTATATTGGTAATAATAATGAAGTGTTTTAATGCCAGCCACGAAAAAAATAAAATTTATAACTAAAATAAAAATGTTCTATATCACAGAAAAATAAATTGGACGGGGACCAATTATCCGTGTGTAAAACTATGGCGTGCAGGGCCAATTGTCTGCATACAGTAGTTTTTTGGGGAAACCAATTTTCCTAAACCTGGTAAACTAAATTATATTAGATAAAACTAGTTCTTAATGCATGTTGTACACTTTATAAAATAATGGCCTTATGGATTGTAGTTATATATTTTAATTGCATGTTATTTATTGATCACATTGTTAAAAACTTAGAAAACAGAATAGCGGTATAGTCAATCAATTATTGTTATCTGCATTTGTATAATAGTTTTAATTATTTATTACCTATAAAATATAATATTGATAAATTAAAAGCGTGTATTAATTTATTTTATAATTAGGTGCGTCTAATGTTGAAGTTGGAGATGTTTCTGAACGTTTAGCTTTAAGAGAAAAGTTAAAATGCAAGTCTTTCCGTTGGTACTTGGAAAACATTTACCCTGAATCTCAAATGCCACTTGATTACTATTATCTAGGAGAAGTCAGTAAAAAAAAACTAACCTTAGATCACTGTTTAATAATGACTTTAATTTGTTTAGATAAAAAATGTTGACTCCCAACAGTGCCTTGATACAATGTCACGAAAAAGTGGTGAAAAAGTTGGCATGAGTTATTGTCATGGTCTTGGTGGCAATCAAGTAAACCAATAAGTTTGTTTTATGTTTTGAATATTATGTATTAATCTTTAAACATGTTTACAGGTTTTTGCATATACTAAACGATCACAAATTATGTCCGATGATAATTGTTTAGATGCTTCTAACATTGTTGGACCCGTTAGTCTAATCAGATGCCATGGTCTAGAAGGCAATCAAGCATGGGTTTATGATTCAAAGGTAAATTTGTTAAATACTCTTTATTATTGATATGTAATAGAATAATTAGTAGTTAATTGGCTAATCAGTAATCAATAATTAACTTTTCAGGAAATGACAATAAAACATAAAACTACAGATCAATGTCTAGAACATTCAATGTCTGCTGATCAGTATGCTGCCATATTAAATGAATGTGATGGTTCACGTAGCCAACAATGGACAATGAAGAGTAACTTTCACTGGCAAGCTAGCTCAAGATAACGTAATCTAATTTTTACTCTTTATTTTAATCAAGTGTTAATTGTTTATATATACATATATACATTTTGGGGATCAAAATATTTACTTATAAGTTCATATGAACAAAAAAATCTACTTATATAATGAAATAAAAAATCTTTTATACTACCGAACAAATAGAAAATAACTTATAAAATCCATGACAGTTTAAAAATACTTATAATAGAATCATAAGAATTTCTACTTGGTGACTATTTATCCTTGCCCAAATCATTACACTCTTTACGAAACAGCACTAATATTTTTAACACAATAAAAGGATTCAGTGAAAACACTTGTGATATTTATATATTATAAGTTATAATTATTATTATATTATATTTTGTATAGTAAAAAAATTATGATATAATTTCTCTCCTTTATAAAAAAAAAAAAAATTGTCTGGTTTAGGATGGAAATACATAATATTATGTATGTTAATGTTATGTATCTGATATTTACATCCACTTTTCTTTTTTTATACAAACAAATTCAAATGTTCCATTCATTTTTGTATGATAACTAGTTTTTCTTCTTTTTATTCAATATAGTCATTAATGCTCAAAATTATATTCCATATGGAGTTGTGAATAAAATATATTAAGTTTGGTACCCTTAAATGCTATTAATATTGTATAGTTATATTCATTATCATGTGATAAAATAGACATTAACAATCCAAAAAAAAGTTGTCATTTTTCTATACAATATATAGTTGATTCAGTGATTTCCACTTGTTATATCCATACTTTTTATTCAAATGATTCACCTTTTGAGGGTGTGTATATACAATATATATATACATATATAAATACCTGCATATAGGATATGTGAGCTTCATTGTAAATTTAAAACTGATGACTGATCTAGTTATTTTATTACGTGTCTAATGAAATAAGGAAAAACTTTTTTTATTATGAAATATTAATTTCTCATTTGTTTTTTAGATAATAATATATATTTCTTTTTAAGCAATAACAAAATTCCATCTTTAGTTATTAAAAAATGTATGGGGGTTAGAAGATCAGTTATAAATTATAATTTAATAGTTTTCATAAATTCAATAATTATTTTAATTTTAATTTTAACAAAAATCCTGTCTAGGTAAAATTCTTATGCGTCACTTTTATTTTTTTTAAATATAAATCTTTAATCCTAATTTATCTAATAAGCATTTATTTTTGTACTAATTCAATTTGTGTCATTGAATTACCATATCAAATGATCAATTTCGAATATTTGTATAACGTTAATACAACCGTTTGAAAAACAAAAATAATTCAACTCTAAATCACTCGTTCATTTCAAATGCACTGTTAAATTTCTGTTTAAATATGTTTAAATAAAACTAATCAAAATTATAGACAAAGAAAATAAAACATTTGTATTAAAAAAAATCTACTTTAACTTCTATTTTATGAGAATTTTGGTGAAAGAAATAACTATTACTTAGAAGTGATCGAAAATTACTTAGTAATGGAGTAAATTAAAATATTTTTACGGTATATTATAACCTTGTTTTAAGATTTTAATAGATTTATTATGTATATTATGCAATTAGTTAATCTTCCAAGTCATATTATGTTTTATTTTTATGTTCAATGTTTTTTTATACATATATATATATATTTGTTTGGCATCTCTTGGTCATTGTAAATGTGTAAGTTAAAGGAATGTATGTCTATTATCATTGATTATAAATACTAGTATACTTTATTATGTATCTTTTTTGATTGAATGTTACTCGTTCAAATCAGTACATAATATTGACTATTGTTATTAATACGTTCAAAAGTATTGTCATTTAATTAATGTGACAAACATGCCAAGAGATGTCGACCAAAGCAATATGTTTATTTTTTAATTATTATTATTATTTTATTTTTTCCATTTACGTTTTTGTTTACACGATAAGTGTCCACATTCATGAAATGTGATAATATTACTTTATTTTACCAACCATTAACATTATGTGCAATCAGATATTATACAGACAAAGTCAAAGTATGTTGTGTATTATTTTTTTTATATGCCTTTTTTTTCGTTTATGAATATTTTAATATTATTTTTATGTGTTGTTTATTATTTATATTAGCTTATATTTTGTACACAAGAAATAAATCAAATCGCATCATAGCCATTGGTGCAACTTTATATTATTGTCTATAATTAGTTGTTTTAAGTAGGTAACTAAATCATCAGTATTTTAATTTTTTTTTGTTAAATGTGATAAAATTTTGTTCATCTAAAATTAAATTTTGTATTTAAAATAATATTGAATACTATTTCTTTAATAGTTAGACATTTCCTTTTCCTCATATAATAAGTAATAACTAAACAAAATCAAAAAACCTTATGATTTTTGAACCTTATGAAATTATATTTAAATTTTAAACATAAAATATACAAACATTGTAATTCTAAAAATAGGGAGGGGGGCAGCAAAATTCCGGATATGCCACTACTCACCGTCTATTTAACAACAACCGAGACAAAACTGATTCCCCACTCAACACTCTGCCTTGGGGAACCGGTTTTTATAGCATGGTGACGCAGAGGGATGCACAGAATCGGAACGTTCTCTCGCTGAACTGAGTATAGTCTAAAGTATAAAAAAAATTTCTCTCAGATTTGGCCATCATTAATATTGAAGGATAAAATCTTAATAGTAAAAAATATATTATGTAGATAGGTAGTGGATAGCAAAACTGTTCACTCACAATTTGTGAGTCACAAATCATGAAAAAAAAAAAGTTCCGCGAATAATAATTATTTTTTAATACTATTCTGGTGATAACATGAATGTATTTTATTGATATTTTGTTAAAGGCGAAACCACTTGGCAAGTTTAGAGCATATTAATACATTTTCGTAAAATTTTGTGGTAATGGGAGTGGGGGAGATAGACACCTAAATCCCCCTCGTATAGGTATACTAGCCTGCATATTATAATAGTTTGCAATGCCACCAGATTATGCTACATAATATTATAATCATATTATCACTTCTTATTATCGATTCATTGTCGATTACAAACTTACGAAAGACTAACTGACTGGCCAGTGACGTCATTTAAATTTTCAATAGAGGGGGGCAAAGGTTTTGACCGGCCCAAATGGGTAAAAAAACTGGTCGTTTCGCTCTCAACCCCATTATATCTACTTACATTTTTATCAAATTACCATACCCAACCAACCTCACTTATTCGTAATTATACTTAATAAGATTTTTTTTAGTCTAATTTTTACAAGCTTATTTATTAACTGGTTAATAACATAGTTTGCAAATATATGATAGCAGATATTTTATAAAAACAACTGTACAATCCTATACCAATTAAAACTCTGTAAACTATTAAGTATAACAATTTTTATTAATTAAGAAAAATATTATTAATTTATTAAAGGATATCTTCTTTTATTCATTTTTGAAAATATATCAACCGCATTATGTAAATTAATTTTACCTGATACATCACTTTCCACCGCAATGACAAATAAATCACTCAGCCGTTAATTTCCCATTGTTAGCCGTAGATGGGTTTTAACTAATTTTAGAGAAGAAAAAAAGCGTTCATTGGATGTAGTAGTAACAGCCAAAGTCATAACTCATAAGGATATTTATAATTTTAAGAGTTTCTTGAAAAGTATTTGGAAGTTGATTTAAAATGTTTGAAATAGAATAAAGGTCATGAATTCCATCATCTCTGTCTTTGTTTGCATGATTTATTAAATTTGTTGCAGGTGGATATTCACTTAGAAGATTTTCATAATTAATTTTAAAATGTTTATAATGATCAATAAAGGTAACTAAATGGGGACTTTTAAAATTAAAATAAAAAAAAACTAGAGGATGAATAAATGTTACAAGTAAGAATTATTTCATTACTATTATTGCTGAAGCAATTGTTTAGTTCATTCAAAAACCTAAGACAATAAAATAAAAAATATATACTATCAAATTAATTAATTATGAGAGCTTCGTTGAATATTTCTGTACAATCTAAATCATTACAACAATTTAATTTCTTATTCCGATATAATATAGCTTCACTCATACTTTTTTTATATTTTTCCCATAATGATTGTGGATCCGATGGGTTACATGAAGTCAAGATTTTTTTTTTTTTTTATTTTTATAATTTTTATTTACAATCTGTTACAATAAAATGAACAATAAGTAAAATAGATAATAGAATAAGTGGCTTGAGGAAAGGACGGATTTAAGAAGCCTTCCAGTGAAGACACTTTGTCAGCTGTTTATATACATTTCAATAAGTTAACAATAAAGTTATAAATAGAAATAAAGATTAGATAATTAACTAAATTAATAGGTCCCGACACCACCGCCTTCTTAGTCTTTTCCTAAGATTGTCAGGTATGTTTGCCGACGCAAGTCCTTTAATTAGGGGATTATCATGGTTTTTAACAGATAAGTTAAATCGTCTATAAAAAGTTCTAGCTACATCACAGACGGGTGAGATGGCAAGATCGTTATGTAAGGTCTGGTTGGACACGTAGAAAGGTGCTTTAGTTATGGCTCGGAGCGTTTTGGATTGGAAGCGTTGGATACGGTTAGTGTTTGAAATTTTTGCAGAGCCCCATAATTGAATTCCGTACGTCCACGCATTGGTTTAAGATAAAGTTTATATATTAGAAGCTTGGTTGGTAGTTTTATGTGTTTGGAGGTTAGGAGAGAGCGGAGAAGACGAAATCGATTGTTTAAGGATAACAGTTTGCTGCGAAGATGAGGAGACCATGTGAGGCGTTGATCAATGATTATGCCTAGATAGCGAGTGCTCTGCGCGGTTGGCAAGATTTGCTCATTTAAGGTAATAGATGGGCATATTCCCTTCCTAAAAGTGAAGGTACATTGTATAGATTTAGATTCGTTTATTTTCACACCCCACTCCTTATACCATTTTTCGAGGAGGGATAGGTGTTCTTGGATATGCGAGGAAGCAATGGATGGATCATGGCTATTGGTTAAAATAGCTTTGTCATCGGCAAAGTCAGCGATGAGGCTAGTGGGCAGCGTGGGTTGATCAGATACGAATATATTAAATAACAGAGGAGCATTGACTGCGTCCTGGGGGACTCCTGCATTTATGGGTTTTGGTGAGGAGTTAGATGAACCATAACGTACCGAGAAGAAACGATCTTCTAGGTAGGACTGGAGTATAAGATAATAAGTAGACGGTAGGATGAGTTTCAGCTTAAATAAAAGTCCACATGAAGTCAAGATAATTGAAAATAATGATCTTATACTACACGACTTTTTTGTTTCATTTGCTTCCTCTAATGCATCATCCCAATGTTTATCATCCAGCATCCTTGAGTAAATCTAGCTGTTAACATACTTCTCTATATGATTTGTATGTAATACCTACCATTTACTGTTCTTAAATATTCGAAAGAAATTGAACCAATAAGTAATAACATTATGTACATGTACCTAATGAAATTTTCAAAAAAAAAACACTCTGAATTACTCGGATGTATTGTATACATTCGATCAAGAGTGTCCGATTTTAAGATTTCAGGACTGTGACGTATTCCTTGTTTTCTACGATTAAATTTTTTTTTTGTGAATTGTCCCATGTAAAATATTTCGGGATATCGTAATAAAATAACGTTTTAGCGAAACCATCTGTCTGACATGAGCTAAAAAATGCTGTTAAAGTTGTTTCAGGTGGTTTTTCAACTTTTTTTTTCTACATTATCATTTGAAAAATAAACACCTCGACCATTTTTGAGGTGTACATGTAAATGTTGCACATTTGGACATCGATCATAAATTTTTAAACCGAAAATTCGCCACATTGCTTCGTTACTATTTATATATCTTCCTGATTGATATTCTTCAATTTCATTTTTATTTTTATTTTCTATCGAAAAAATGGCTTGATCACTTCCTTTGTGTAAATACCTACTTCAAAATTTATTTTACTGCGACTACTGAACTACCAAGTTCATCATTAATATGAGCATTCATTATTTTCGAGATTAGTGGACAATACGGCACGATCCCCTGATTCTCAATATTCACTTTTTTGTATTTATCATTAAATTTAACTCTAATAGCAGTCTGGAAACCTCCATTTTGTTATACTTTTTCGTCTGTACAAAGGATATCCATTTTTATCTGATCTCGTGACATCAAGTAATTTTCGAGGATAATTTACATTTACATTGACCATCGTCCATCTTTCATGGTACTGAAAATGGATTCAACTGTCCACATGGTCCTTGTATCATTAGGTATATTGACTATTATCTATTTGATTATTTTATTAATTAAATTAAATATTGGTATTATGCAGTGGTGTATTGGTACGGGTACGCGGGTATACGCTGTATACCCATCAGAAAATTTTTGATTTTCGGCGTATACCCAATGTAAAATCTTATTTTACGGGTATACGTTTCCAAAATAACCAGAAAACCAAATAAGATTTAATATTTATTTAACAGTTCATATAGGAAAAAACGTTATTCGTTATTATGTATTAATGAATTATTTATCAATTGAAGTAGGTATTGAATATAAGTTATATAATAATATGCGTTGTGTTTAATGTACCTATTTTAAGGCTTTAAGTTCAATTTAGTAAACCCAATATTGAATACAAAAAATCTTTGTGGAAAATTCTATAGATTGTACCTATAATAATAATGTTATTATTCTTTTAATTTTAATTTTTTTGACATTTGAGTTGATTTTGTTTTATTTTCTATTGTTACATTATAAAAAAATTATTAAAATAATGTTAAAAACTATGTGCTAATTGAACTGCAATAACGTTATATAATATATACGATGATATAATTTGATTTTTAGGTTACATACAGTGTCGGCCTGGCCAAGGCAGCTAGGCAGCAATCGCTGCCTGGGCCCCGTCTTTTTTTTTTTTATATATATATATTTAAATGCGGTTGTGACTTGTGGTGCGAGCTAAGTAATATAATAATAGTAAATAAGTAAAAGTGGAATTATTGGGTAAATTGTTTAAAGCACGAACTACTACATAGGACTGGACACTACTGGCAGGGGGGGACACCGGTCACAAAGTTGTACGGGTATGTACGTTTGCGACTGTGATGCTACCTAGTGACGTACTAGATTTACTGCATATTTTCGTACCTATATAACTATTATGAACGTAATATTTATATTATAATATAGACTTATAAAATAAGAAAAAAAAAAGAAAAACCAATCGATTAACTTAATGAATATTATTTAAATTTTATTTAATTTCTACTTCAATTTCTATAATGAGTCTGTTGTATCTTTTTATATTATTATACTTCACCAGTGGCGTAAATAGGGGGAGGCCTCCTTGGCGGCTAGGCCAGAGCCCATAGTGAAATTGCAGGTTAAATTAAAGCATTTCATATTTTCATGTATATTTACACTGTTTATAGTTTTTCACCATGATTAATTTAGACGGTTGATTAAAATCGTTTTTGAGGAATCCACAAGGAAATGATTGTATTATTAGGAGTCGATTTTACAAGTTTTACTCATAGATACAATATTTAAAATATTACAAAATAAAAATATTTCGAATAATCGATACAAATTACAAATAATTATCAAACAATAGTTACTGAATGTATTAACCTATATTTTTTTAAAAGAACCATTAACATATTATTTACCTATGTTGTTTCAAATCAAAAACAAAATACCTAATGTTATTGTTAATGTTTGAACACTATTTATTATACAATCATTTTTTTAATGATAGCTATTCCTAAACCTTGTGTTTATTTATAATTAAATATTAACAATGTGGTAATTACATTAATTAGCTTTTAAAAAACATTTAATCAATCAATTTCATGTGATTATGTGAGTACCTAATATTGAAGTCTGGGTGTTTTTTCCTAGAATCGGGGATTTTTATTTCGCAATTCACTGTCTATAATAGGTATTGTATAGTATTATTATAGTTCTGTGCATTTATTGCAATATTATGTATAATACCGAATTAATTATCGTACCAATATACGGACATAAATCGTTAACTTGCGATGTAGTCTATACTCTATAGATAAAGAAAAATAGAAATTGATTACTCTACGTTTATGTGTAAGTATATGTACGTTTATGTATTAGTCATTCTGGTATGTACAACAACTTGTATCAAGTTTTTAAATACATAATGCCATTGCCATCAACTCAAGTCACGCGTAAAAGAGTATTTTCCAAGCTAAAAGTAATTAAAACCAAATTAAGATCGCCACTCGATCAGCAGCATTTAGAACCACTAATGCTTTTGGCTTTATAGAAAAAGATATTACTTTAAATGTAGACGAAATAAAACTAATAGATGACATAGCAAAATCGTCAAAAGATAAGACAAGACTTTTAATATAATATATTTAATGTATTTATTTTATATATACATAGTTTTTTTATATAAAAGTTGAATACCTGTAAATTTAGAATAAGAGAAAAATTTAACTTTTTTTAAAATTTAAAATGACAAATTTAGAATCTCTTATATACAATGTGTATTACATTTTTATGACCATTTTTCATATTTATGATTCATTTAATTTAATTATAATAAATAAATTTTGTAGTACGGGGGCTGGGGCCCTTCCAAATAAAATCCTGCCTGGGCCCTTTAGAACCAGGCCGACACTGTT